GAGGCGTGATTCTGTCAAGCTGGGGATGGGACATGGGGCTGGAGGTCAGAGGTCGAGACAGCAAAGAGGTGAGGAGCTCTGGAGATGGACAGCAGACAGGACTGCGGGACAACCCTTCAGCCCATGGAGCTATACAAACAACCTTATGGCACAGGCTAGCCGACACTAATTTCTGCTGCTTCAGAAAGCCCCCTGGCCCCCTCACAGGAAAGAGAGACACCCCCCTTACCGCCAGGAGAGCTAGGATCACGCGTGAAGATGCGGGTACCTCACAGGCTTCCTCTGCAACATGCTACCAGATGTGCTGGACTGCCCCCACCCCACCTCCCCGCCAGTAGAGGGTGCGACAGTGAGCGACCTTCACCTGCCATGCTTCTGTCTGGCGAGGGATTCACGCGCACATGTTCCTCCTCACCGGCACGCGTGCAGGGACGAAGCCAGCCATCTGCCTGGGCGAGGCGTGCGTGTGCGCGTGCGCGTGCACGTGCCCCTCTCATTTGATTCTGCTCAATACCTTTTGTTTTCTTTAGAGAACGCAAAACGGAATAATACGCGGAGAAGCGAACGAGTCAGGTTCTCCCCCGCGGCGTGAAGATAGTAATTTCGTGTTGTTCGGTGTTGCCGCAGGTGTGGGCTCCTCCGGCTCGTTTCCTTGATTTGGGTAAATCTGCATCGGCGCGGAGGTGGAGCACTGGTCCAGTCTGCCCAGGAGCCGCGGGCCCGCGAACTGTAGCAAAACCACCGGCAACACTCCCCTCGCTTCCAACACTTATCGGGAGCTCAGTGTCCCTGTTTTTTATTTTGTTCCCTTGGATCCCAACATTTATTAGCAAACAAACAAATAGAAGCGTGTAATCCTTTCCATCCCCAAGGCTCCGAAACAGCCCGAGCCTCCACACAGCCTCTCATCTAATAGCCCGCTCTGCTATGAATCAGTCCCAAAGCACCGCGAGACGCGCGGTGACACTCTTAATTTAAGAACCTGTGTCTTTATTAAAAAAAGATTACAGCAGTGGGAAAGGGGGGGGGGGGCCACCTCCTCCGTCTCGGAGCGCTGTGATGAGCAGGGAAAAAGAGAAGGCTCGCCGCTGGCGGAGAGAAGGAGAGACCAGGCGTGACGGTTTGTGCAGGGCCTCCCCGAACAGGAGACGGGGTTGTTCAGCGGCGGCCCATTTGTTCGTGTCGCCCAGGGAAGTGCCGACGAGGCCGATCCCCCCACCGCCGCGCGCCGCCCGTGGAATCTGCTAACTGCATCCGGAGACCCCTCCAGGCGCCCGGGGCCACGCTGCGCGGCGCCGCCCGGGAGCGAGAGGGCGTGGCGGGAAGCCGTGAAGAGCCGTTCTCACAGAGACGGCAGGTCCCCCGCAAACAGGTGCCGTGAGGACTAGCCAGGGGGTCCCCCCGAAAGTGCGGAGCTGGATTCCTACCGCGGGCCGAGAGAGGGCCGACCTTGGGCAGCTGCGACTGTCTCCCGGGGCGTTTGGCGACGCCTCCGGTTCGTGACCTCCGCAACCGCGAAGGAGAACAGGCATTTCGAAAAGCGCCAGGCAGCTGCCTTCGCGACGCGGCCAGGCGGCCAGGCGGCCTTGTCCGAGAATCCAATTAACACCCCGCGACGAGCGCCACTGGCCTGAGGAATTCCACACCCCCGCCCCGCGCGGGGACCTGACCCGGGACGGGACCTCCCCCGTCAGCCTGAACCCCACAGCCTCAAGGTGAACTACGAGATGAGAAATGACAGAACACAAATTGCTTTCTCACGAATACCCCTTCAACAAGTTAAAGGAATTTTGAGCGTGTAAACAGCTCACAAAATGCTGTAACAGGCTTGAGGTTTTTAAAAATAAAGCCCTACAGAACTGCTGGCATGTAAAGTTTATTTGTCAGAGTAAAACTCGGCTCAACATTTTGTCACAGACCAGCGTCGTAAAGCTCCAGCTGAGCTCCAGCAGTTGAACTGCCTGTTATAATTCAATCCAGGAAAAGCGTGCCACCGCTGTGATATCCAATCTGTCTTTAATCAGAATGATGCAACGTTTTCTGCTACGCTGCTTTTGTTAAGTAAAAACTTTGGCAAACGTGTCAAAAAAAAAAAAGCACTGTACTATTGCAGCATGACTCACAAAACAAAAGCTGTCAAAAGAACATTCTTTTTTATATCTCAACAGGTCCAAAAATCTTGCAGCACCATTGTGTTTAAGCAACAAATATTCTACAACTCAATATACTACAGTTTTACCGCAGCCTGTCATAAAATCAGACTGCATTGTTCCAGAGAAGGAAAAAAAATTATTCGCCTCTTCTTGGCTGCTAAAACCTTCAGAAGCCAGTTAAAGATTCTTTTATTATGCTGCAGTATGTTTTTATGATTGAGCACTTTAATTTATGGTGGAAAAAAAAAAATTTCAAACCCATCGACTAGGCAAATCCATCACAGAGATGCAGGCTTTCTGTCCTCCATCTCCCCCTCTCTCTCTCCCCTTGTCTCTCTACCTCTCTGTTCCTTCCCTTCACCCTCCTCCCAGCCTCCTTTCCCCTAACGCGTCTCTGATCCCTCTCCCTGCCCCATCCTTAACTCTCTCCATCCCCCTTCTCCCCCTTTCCTCCCCTCACTCTGTGACGGAGAAGCCCGCGTGTCCGCTAGTGGAAAAAGCACATGTGAAAGCAGTTCTTCCACTGGCAAAGCCAAAATGTCAGGGGGTGGGGGAATAGGAGTTTAGGCAGCAGCCAGCTCTAAATCAATTCCACTTGTGCTGCCCCCAGAAACACACAGTTTTGCAGCCTCCTGGTCCATCGTGAGCCCTGGAGCTCCATCAACCAAAACAAACCGTCAAAAGAGCTTTTCTGTGCCCCACAACCCTGTGGTTTATTACCCCCCTGCAACCCTCAGGTCAGCACGGCGCAGCTCAATCCCCCAAAATCAGGGCTGGCTCTTCAGGGTACCATGTTCAAAAAAAGACGGCCGTGCCAGTTTTCCTCCCCGGCTGCAAAGCGAAGTAACTTCTCTGCAGCAAAGCTTTCCACTAACGCCACTTTGCTTTTACTGCAACTCGCTACTCCATTAAAAGAACGTCGGAGCAGTTGTGAAAGTGGCTCAAACCGATATTGATAGCTCACCCACTGTTTCCACAGCTTTCAGAGAACTTGGGGTACAACCGTCACCCCGCCAGGGGTGCAGAACCGTCACACTGCGCTGAAGGTTTCTAAAGGGAACTGAAAATGTGTTTCTTTGTGCACCGGCAACCCATTTTATTTGGTGCCCCGTGCGACTCCTTAAATGGCACAAAGACGTAATCGTGGCAAACAAGTACGAGAGCTGCCTGACCGCTGCAGTGTTGCCAGCTCCTCTGATCAGAGCTCAGAGCCTCAGCAGGGCTGGGCCTGGTTAGTAATGGGTGCTGCTGTAAGTGGTGGTGCTGAAACTGTAGATGGCGTTCTTCTTCCTGGACCACAATTCCCACACCAGTGGCCCAGTATAGTGACGGGGCACACTGTGCCAATGGAGGCGCCACCCTTCCTGCAAGATCTTAAACCAACCTGACTGCTTGCTCATTAGTCATTACAGACCCCAGGACACTGATTCTAAGAGTAGGGGTGTTCTGGCCAACTTCCACTCTGGACTGTAACAATCTGGCCTCACCCAAGTTTGGACTGCAAGAGGGAAGAGTGGAGCTCAATCAGTCCAGCATCTTTCCTGGTTGAGCCTGGGAGCCCTAGGGGCTTTGTTTTTAGAAAAGAAGTAGTAAAACTAAAAAACTTTCCAAAAATCACCCCTTTCCAGCACCTGCCAGAAGTGCTTTTGCCTCTGGTTGGAATTAAGAGAGTCCTACAGTAATTTTTCTCAGAACCCATAAATAACGTTGACAAGAGACAGGATTCACTTTCTGCAGCTGCGCGCTGACATTTGAGCGATGCACTGCAATACGGTATTCTCCTCGCCTAGCATCCTTTACAAGTAGCGTGCTGGATCGCTTTGCAGAAATAATAAGGCTAATTCAACCGCAGTTGAGTTTTAACAGTCTGCTGCAGCCTCTTGGTGCTCAGTAATTCCAAAGGCCACAGTCTGCCAGCAAGCCTTTTTTTAAGAGGGCAGCTCAAGGCTAAAGATGGGAAATTAAATTTCTTTTAGTGCACGTTTCTGCCCGAGAGAAAGAAAGAAAGACAAAAAGACAGAAAAAGAAAGAAAGAAAGAAAGAAAGAAAGAAGGATGCTTCTGCATTTGGGGTTTTCCCCAAATGACTAGGATGGAAGATTTGTTGGAAGAATTTCTCCCCTGCCGCCATCCAGGGTTTCAGTAACTCAAGAAGCACCCAACGACGTTGCCGCTCATCCCCTACAATCAGCAGAGATCCTTGTACCGGAATAATGGGGATGTATTCCGTGCGCGCCCCGAGCAGCCCTTGGCTTCGACTGCATACAAAGAGCCCTGGTGCTGCTTCACAGACTCTGCAAGCTGCCTTATCTTGTCAGATAGGAGAGCGGAGGCAGGCAGGTAATCCGAGATTAGAGATGCTCTTTTTATTTCTACCCTCCTGCAAGGCGGTAGGATCGTGCACCCCACTTAAGGGCGCTGGCGTCTTCCGCCTCTGCACGGGGCAAGCCGTGCTGGCGCATAAGCATGCCTTTTAATGAGAGCCTGCCAGAGACTGATGCACTGCCTGCAGACACCAGCACCCCCCCGCCCAACACACACACACCCAGCAGCCCAGCTATAAATCTTTGTGGCTTCATTGTCGCTTATCGGACGCATTCATCTCTCCTGTTTTACAAACAAAATGTGCATATAAAGCATCGCAGCACCTCACCTGGGTGAAAACAATAAAACCATATTATAATGGCCTGCATTCAAATCTTTAGAAGATTTAGAGCTTCAGTCCTAGGCTGCTTCAGAGCCCATAGATCAACACACATGGATCTGGTACAGTGGAGTACTGTAGTTTATAAGGAACCCAGGTCTCGGAAGAATGCTTCAGGTTCTATTACGGCCTTGCAGATCTTACCTGGGTTTTTTCGTTCTTTAAATGTAGCAGATGTCAGGCCAGAGTTGCAGCCTCTGATGTAATCTCCTAGTCTTTCAGTCTCTGAACTGCTACCGGTCCAAGATCCTATGAATATCAAAGGATAAAGAAAAGCAGTCTTTAATTTTTGGAATGCACACATAGCTGCATACAGCACTCCTTAAAAAGGAAAGGTGTTCCACAGCCTCTTACTGACCGTGCATTTACCAACGCCAGTTCTCTATAGGCCGAACCCTGCATGCACTCAGAGCTATTTCCATATCCCCTGCCCCAGTGATGACATCTCGTTAGCAGAAGATCAGATGTTGCAGCAGATTGGAATGCAGCTTAAAAAGGTTTTGAAGAAGCCAAGAGCTTTACGTGGACCCCCCCTGTCAGAAGGGAGCAATGACTGCTTGTCTTCTTGTCACGTACGAGCAGGGCTGACCTGGGACAAGATAATCTTAAAACGAAGGAGAAACGCCGATATGGACAGAGTTTATCATCTGCACCATTGACGTGCTCATGCACTTTGGGGGCACTTATCTGCGATGCTTCATCAGTGACACCATTGTGTTCACAAGTCACGGTGCACATACCGTGGCATGGCGTGCCAATACTTTGGGGGACGGGGACGGGGAGGGGGGTCACAGAAAGGGACGACATTCCAAATATCCCAGAGATACACATTATCGGCATGACAGCAACTTCCCGCAAAGCGGCATTCTCCTGTCTGTCTGTGTCAATCAGTACACACAGGTCTACAAGCTCAGACACAGGGAGAAAAAGAAAACAACTCAGGTATGAGGAACTGCTCTTTGCTGACCGCTAGCTGTCAGCTGAGAGATCGGTGCCATGATTGGGTTTGCATTCATCACATGGCCTTGATTGCGAAGGCCTGGCAGCTGACAGGTGTTAAAGGAAGCCAGCTTTGCACTGTAAGTGCTACAAGGCTGCTGGGTACAGCCCCGCATTCAGTCCGAGCCCTGGGAAACAGGAAGTACACCAGCAGGGCTGCATGTGACACAGAGGAGACAAAAGCCACCTCTGAGGTAATCTCTTGTAATTTGAGTTTACCACTCCCTGCTCCCTTGCATACACATTTGATAAAAGGTCATCCTGTTAATGTGCAAGATATCGGGGACATATTGGTAGTGTCCAATATGAAAGTGGTAATCACTTTCCTGTACTGCGTACTGCTTCTGTTCAGAACAGATGGATCAGGCTGACACCAATACCTATGGGGAGTCACATGGTCACTCTGTGGGAGAATACCAACACCGCGGCCAATGTTGATCTGAGAAAGGGTCACAGGGCTCCTGGAAGTCTCTGTTTGGTAGGTTACGATATGGGTGCAAGTCAGCATATAGAATTCACAGCAGAGCTCTAAAGGAGTGTCCAACGAATTCATTTTACAAGACGGGGCTACACTGTGGCTAACGGTTCATGAACTGAGTAACTTCTCAAATGGGAGCATTACAGCCCCAAGTTGCACAAGAAGGTATTTTAAGAAACAGGCTATCCATTACCTACCTTTGGTATGGATATACTGTACATAGCACAGCTTATGAGGTGCTTGGTGAAAACAGAAACACCAGAGAGGTGGTGGTGAACTGAAACACAGATGGGACCATGGGGGGCTTTGGAAGGAGACTTATTTTCTACTGACACTGGCGGGGTCCCACATTGAGAAGCCGGGCAGCAATTCTGTTGCCCAGGCATCGACTGAGAGCCCTCTAGTGGACAGTGGTGGTGACTGCACTCCCTGGTGGGCACCTCCCTTATGAACATCTCCCCCACCCCACCGGAGCCTCACCTGTCAGTGCAGCCCCCCGGGACAGGTTTCACCATGCAGCTGTTCCAACAGGCCCAGCAAAACTCTCCAGCCGTTCCGCGTGCAGGACTCTGGCACTCAGGGCCACGATTACGCACCATCGCGTGAGCAAACAGGACTTCGATTTTAAATTACCAGAGAAACACACTGGTTAAAGGGCTGATTAAGTTCAGCGTTCCCAGTTAGTTCATAAATTTTAAAATCTGGTTGCCCTTAAAGTGCTGGTGCCGATCGGGCTTTGATGTCTTCAAACTGCTGGAGAAAATCTCATCCTTATTCAACCATTTTATATCTGCAAGTCTCGGAGCTGACAGGCCCGCTTGCCGTGTATTTATTGCCTGAGTCCTGCCAGCACTGGCGGCCCACCCCGCAGGCATCTTAAAAGCTAATCTAATGTGGGTTTCTTTAGTCATTTAAAATCTGGCAAAGTGACATCTGTATCATTCTGGCAGAGAGGCTGGATTAGGTCATTTTTCCCCTCATTGTCTGATGTTTTGTTTCAATCGCCAAAATCGGCAGTCATTTTTCCCCAATTTAAAAACCAAAACAAAAAAACAAGAAACAAACAAAACAAAACACACACAAAAAAAAGACTTAAAACATGCACGGAATGCCCAGCATTTTTAAGCGGTCGCTTAGACATACCTGAAGTTTATGGGGGAGAAAATAAAAGCCTGAAATGGATCACAACCGCTCAACGGCTGGAGTCTCGGGACGTCTCCCCTGCCCTGCCTTCCCTCGGCTGCAGCCGGAAGGGTTAAAGCCAGCAGGTCTCTCTGTGACTTGGCCCCAGGGTGTAATAACACAGCGAATGTCTCCAAGTCATTAGGTTTCCGCTGTGCCTAAATGAGGGTCATTTGTATAAGCAGTGAATGTGCCGCATTCTAAATGGCTTGCCGGGAGAGAGAGAGAGTGAACTTCCACAGAGGCAGTGACTGTGACAAACAGCAGACTGGAGCCCGACGACGGCCGAGGAATATTATCATTATTTATAAAGCAGGAGAGAAGCCGAAGGAGCCGGTGGGGGGTGGGGGTGGGGGGAGAAGCGAGGTGCCTATGCGACAGCAGGGCGAAGTGACCCAATTGCAAGGCGTGCGCCGGACAAGATCCGAAACGCAGATATCCGCCACACGCTGCAGGGCCCCCCGGCCTCGGAGCCCCGGCCACACCGCGATTTGTTTTGTTTTTTCTTCTCGTGCATCTCTGCCATGCTCACTCGGAGGGTCCCCGTTCGGCACCAGAGCCCGCGGGTCGCGGTTCATGACGGAGACGGGAGGGCAGACAGCAGGACAAGGGACAGAGAAAGCGCAAGGTCCGGGGGGCGGGGGCATCAGGAAAGATGCATCTGGGAAAGCTCATCGGAGCACCGACGAGGCAACCTGGTGTTCACAGGCTCCAGGTGACATTAGCAGTTCCCACACTGCCCCCTGGCTCCACTGGCGTCACTCTGCCTCCTCAGGGGCCCGGCTGTGGCCCTGGCCCTGGTATGTGTGGATGCCGACCCACTCCTCCCCCCTCCCCTCCTCTCTGGTGACGGGGGAAAGAAAATTTACTGTCTGTGTGACGGGAATCCATCACAGAGCATGGAAATAAATAATTGAAATGCGCCTTTAAAGCCAGTCTGCTGGACTGCCTGTGGAACAGAGGTAGGAACAAAAGTGAAATATGAAAAGGCAAGGTATTTGCCTCCGTCAGCATCACCAGGAGACAAGCTTAGTTTATTAATGACAAGAACCTTGCCCTAATATTTAAGCTCCCCGTTTAATATGTGTCAAATATTTCCATTTGACAGATGGGACCTTTGAACTTGTTGCTTTCGTAATGCTATTTAAAAAAAACTTGTGTCAAATTTGAGGATGGCATAAGCTGGTCTTCCTGTGCACGGCGAATTAAAATAACATCGTGTTCTTACCGCAGTTTTAAAGACCCCAGGGAACTTCAATGTAATAATGTAATGTAATAACAGACCTTGTGTCTAACTGAACATCGGTCATGTGCTCTGTGCTTCCAAATTTCAACTCTGGCATGTCCCAGGAGAGCAGCTATGAACACTAAGCTATGAACCGTTGGACAGATGTCAGGGCTACTGCTTTAAATTTCTTTCCATTTCATCCACAGGTACATCTCCTGTTCTGCACAGATTCACGGCTGTGCCATATTTCCTCGATTTCTTTATAATGAACTTCACTGTGCTTTGGGGGATATTCAATGTCTTGGAGATTTCCTTATACCCCTCCCCAGACTGGAGCTTTTCAATAACCCGATCCCGGATTTGCTTCGAATGTTCCTTTTGTCTTCGTGATGTAGCTTTTCTTGGGAAATAAGAGATTAAGATCACTTTCTTGCATTAGGAATTTGTCTTTTTGCAGACCCCAGCTTGCTCTCCATGAGACACAAAGGCACACAGATGGGGAGAGAGAAGCTTGGGGTCAGAGCACAGGGTCAGCCATTTATACGGCGCCCCTGGAGCAGTTGGGGTTCAGGGCCTTGCTCAGGGGCCCCACAGAGTAGAATTCCTCTGCCAGCCACGGGATTTGAACTGGCAACTTTCCAGCCACAGGCGCAGATGCTTAGCCACAGAGATACCTCTTCGCCCTATATACTAAATGTACTAATCAACTGTGGGATCTCCCAGAGGTAGGTGCATTTAACCTGAACTCATGTGAAAAACCTTTATTACACACAAGTGGAATTACCATTCAGGTAATTATGTGACTTCTGAAGACAACTGGTTGCACCATAGCTTATTATAAATAGTTTTATATTTATAACTAATTTAGAGGTTGTACGTCGATGAATGGTAAAGAAACCCTCATTAAATACATTTGGATTCTGTACCATAACACAATAAATTGCAAAAAAGGGCGATTACTTTTCATAGCCAGCCTGAGAAGACACCAGCGTTCGCTACCCAGGCGAGGGCTAGGAGACTAGGAAGGCAGGCCCCACTCCTGAAGTCACCACCAGCTCAAGGTAGACTTGAGCTGGTACCAAAAGCAGATCACAGTCCAACACCGGCTCCTTAACCACTCAGCTTAAATCGGGGGGTTCCAATATAAACCTCTGAAAGCTCCAGTCCCCCACATTTTAGGCCAGTGATTAGCACAACCGGTTTGTTGAGAACCAGGGCCAGTGCTGGGCACCCCTATCATTTCATCCCATAGAAGTGTCACAAACTTCACTTCAAGTTCGGAGTTAAGGAACAACAGAAAAGGAATTTCAAAACGAACGAGCAAGAAAGCAGCAAGGGTATAATCATGTTTTTTTTTATCCA